AAAACATTGCCCCCCCCCCCGAACAAAACGTTGTTAGCTACGGGGCTGCACTACACCAAAGTAACTAGACTCCCTTAAAACTTCACTTGCCTGTTTGCCAAATAACACTTGTTTTACTCCTGGCACACCTTAGGCCTGAAAGAAATTTGCCTTCAAACCCTAAAAGCAACCACCTCATCTAGTTTGCATACGCATCACTGCCAGGACGCCTGGAAGCAGTTTCTGCTCACTTCGGGCAAATGACTAAAGCCTGGTACAGTTTCATTACCTCCTAAATCAGAGGGAACAGATTCTGAATCTTTGCCTATTGTCTATCCTGGAAACTACTGCTTTCTGAGCAAGAGCAGCCACATTCCCTCAGTCTGAGCCAGTTGCCATAATTTTTTTTTTGCCTGCAGCCGGGAGGCTACTTCCCCTCGCCATTTGCTGAATGAACACTCTACAGTAGTCAGAATGCTCTGCGCACACTCTCCCCTGAGTTTCTACGCGGCGGGCTACCTTGCTTCATTTCCATTAAGAAATGTGATCAATACATGCAAAAGCAGGCATGTGGTGACAAATACAATCTTTGTACTGGTCACAGCAGGAGACATATCTGGACACACAGGAATCCGAACCAGGAACCTCCAGGCTGAGACCTAATCTCACAAGCGGGCCAGGCATGTGGGTGCCCAGGGGCTACAGCCTTCTGCTCATACGGCTGGAAAGAGGCATGTGCGCTCTTGATTGGCTAAACAGATATAAATCCTACTTATAAATTCTATTTTTATCTTACTCTTCCTCCAAGGAGCTCAGGACACCTTATGTAGTTCCATCCCCTGTTTCATCCTCACAACAACCCTGTGAGGTGGGTTAGATCAAGTCAGGTCAACTGGTCCAAGGTCATCCAGAGACTTCATGACTAAGTGGGGATCTGAACTCAGGTGTCTTCCAGTTCTGCTATTTAACCATTACACTGCACCAGCTTTCCACACAGCCAAATACAAGTTGGCTAAATAAATAAATAAATAATGGATTGTTTTAAATGTTTATGATATTTATTGTTACTACGTTTTACTGTGTAAGCCGCCCTGAGCCTGCCTTGGCGGGGAGGGCAGGGTACAAATTTGAAGAAATAAACAAACAAACAAACAAATAAATAAATTATGCCCTTGCTTGGTTAGTTGAACTGTACTTCCTGCCTGCTGCACTCCAGACATCGGATCCTTGTACAGCCACCATCCAGCCCTGACAAGATGGCTCTTATCCCGAGAAATTTATTCAGAAATGTTCCTTATTTTCTCTTTCTAGAATCCTGTTACAGGTTTAGAAAACTGTGCCTCTCTGGTCTCATTTCTCTTCTGCATCTCTAACACTAGTATGTTAAGAAGAAGAGTTCAATGTAGCAATTTCCCCCTCTCTACCTCATACTGCTTCTTAACTTATTAGTTTTAAGCAGATTGCTGAAATATAGCAGCTAGATCCCAAATATAGAAGCTAGACAGCTAAAAGTTCACAGCTAAAAGAGTGATGGGTCTGCTATTGTCTTCTAATAAAAGAGGTAAATGTCTCCATATTTTGGAGCAAAGGAAGAATCAAAAGATTTCTAGGGTCAGAAAAATAACTGCATTCAAAGGTCATCTGATACAGGGTGTCTATATACTACCTGCACCACGGTTGCATACTCTGTCAAAGTATTGTATCTTAAGATATCTCCCTTGCAAAACTCTAGATGGTGGGGCATTAAGACTCACCAACATAAAGGCGAGGAACAGTCAAATCTGAGCAGTAATTGGGGAGCTCTCCAGGTAGCAGAACAAACACATCGTGCTATATGGATTGTACCATTATAATCGTACTTAAACAGATGTTTACTATGTGCAGGGACTTTTTCCTCATGGACGAATAATCAGACATGAATCTCCCCCTAAGGCATGCCTATAATAGCGAGGAACAGTCAAATCTGAGCAGTAATTGGGGAGCTCTCCAGGTAGCAGAACAAACACATCGTGCTATACAGATTGTACCATTATAATTGTACTTAAACAGATGCTTACTATGTGCAGGGACTTTTTCCTCGTGGACAAATAATCAGACATGAATCTCTCCCTTGTGCCTCCACATCTTGAAGTGGTATGATCTAAAAAAGCTTTATATTTTTTTCTACTGCATGTACAATCTATCTATCTGGTATATTTCAACCATTCCTCTAAGAAGCTCAGGAAAGTGTACGTGGTGTCCCATTCCTCCATTTTATCCTCACACAACCTTGTGAAGTAGACTTTCTCTCAAGACACTAACCGTGCATTACAGAGATATGGGCTTTTGACAAATCTGTTTCTGTGGCTTGGTTCAGATATAATAGGAAAACTCACTGCTAAACAAGTTTTGCGGAAACTCAGGCATATGTGCTCCTTCCCCCTCTCTCTATCTCCTTCCCTTATATGCAGCTACTTATAGTGCCATCCTAAGTAGAGTTACACTTTTCTATGCCCACTAAAGTCGCTTTTGACAAATCTGTTTCTGTGGCTTGATTCAGATATAATAGGAAAACTCACTGCTACATAAACAGGTTTTGCGGAGACTCAGGCATATGTGCTCTTTCCCCCTCCCTCCATCTCCTTCCCTTATTTGCAGCTACTTATATGGCCATCCTAAGTAGAGTTACACTTTTCTACGCCCACTGAAGTCCATGAGTTTAGCAGGGTGTAACTCTGTTTAGGATTACACTGCTGACTAACATATTTCCACTTTCATAGCAAATCACAGGTTGCCATTATATCTGAACCAGCAAACTAAGGATTTATGCTTTCCCTGCAATCCAGGATTCCAAATAGTGGTTTATTTCCTGTTTGAAACTCTGGCTCTTGAGGAAAGAACAAAGTACACTTGATGGTTCAGATGCATCAGCAAACAGTGATTTGCCATGGAAATAATGCATTCGTTGGCCATGCACAAAGGGAGGGGGGAGAATGTTTGAGCTAAAGGATCTCCCAGGTTCATTCACCTAGCAGCAAACCATGATTTGCCATTATTCTTGAACAGAGCCTCTATAAACCATGAAAAATGAGGTGTACCTGGACATCTGGAATTTCAGAATGCAGTGTTCCATCTTCATTGTATGTATAAACTGTGAAGTCTTTCGGCAAAAGCCCTCTGGCATGGTTGGAAGACAAAGGATGCAAAATATTTACTTTTTAAAACAGGTTCTAAAATGTACCCAGAGCAAATAACACACTGTTTTCTAAATGCATGGGGTACAATCTCTTCAGCAAGGGACTATGGAAGGCTGTGAACATAAATCTGCAAGCTCTTTACGAGAGCTTCTAATGCAACATTTGTTTTGAGGTTTTTCTCTTCCTCTTTTTAAAAAGTAAAAATAGTCCCAGCTTCAAGAAAAATACAGTATAAAAAGTAGAAAAGAAGTAGAAAGAGAGCAGCCCACAGACTTGCCTGACCCCTCCCCCAAGAAACCCATTCCCCACCCCAGTAACAGTTCTATAAAGTCCATACGTAATTAGCTGGGAAAGGATGGTTAGGAAAAGGAAAGGCTTTAAGAATTGGACCAAGAAGAAGGTTTACCTGGGAAAGCATCAACATATTTCACAAAACGTACATATATTCAAAGTATAATTGCAACTTCTCCTACTGTTTTTTGCAGTATTTTAAAGCAAAATTATTCATTTACTTAAATTTGATACAATTTGAAATGAATAAATGGCTAAAAACAAACTGAGCACATGAGAGCAAACGTTAACATCCTTGTGGAAACGTCGCTTCCTTTACCAAAATTATGTCAATATGTTTTGACATGGGCCAAACCACAAATGCTTTGCTAGCATTCGGGAGGGAAGCAGATAGGATGGGCGGCATCAAACCTCTTCTGGCTGTTTCCTTAGATGGCTCTAATGAAATCTGTTCGCTAAGCATTTTGTGGGACATATACAGGGCCAGGGAAAGGATTCAACGTGCCAATTTCTGGCAATCTGGAATATCCAGGAGGAAGGAAATAAACCCAACCCCACAGCAGAGAAGCCGCTTACTTGTTTCTTTCTAGGTGAATGATATGTTTCCTTCCTTCAATTTCAACGACATATAATAACTTGTCCTAAGGAAAAGGAGAGGAGAAAATATGTCAGCCACCCAGTTCTGCTCCAAGCATCATCAATTAACCACTCCCACGTGCTTCTACCAACATATGAAAATAATGGAGTTGAGAGCTCAATTCAGACAGTATTCAGAACCAGTTTGAGCTCCCAAACATTCAACAGGAAAACCTTGGCACACAGCCAATTATGTTTTTTTTGTTTCAGCCTTCTCACCACTCACCTTCATAAGGTGCCTTCTGTCTCCATGGTAGCATTAGACCTCAGCAGGTGGAGGTCTGACCATAACCACAGTTTGATAATTCAGTCAGACCATGGTTACCAAAAACCAGGATTGACAAACCAATCACAACCATTCTTGGACCTCCTTACCCATGGCTTAGTGTGATGTTCAAACTGAGCCACCAACAACAATCTTTGGTCTTTCTAGTCTAGCACCATCTATTCTGATCAATGACAACTCTTTGTGTTCTCAGCCATGCTACTGGAGACCTGTTTAATTGGAGATGCTGGTGATTAAACTTGAGACCTTATGCATACTCTCTCTACCATCAAGCAATGGTCCCTCTCCAAAGTGTTACTAGGATGTAATATTAATAATTATTATTATACTACATCAACATAATGCCTGATTTACATTATCTCAGTAATCCTTACCAAACTTCTGCAGGCCAATATTATCTCTAAACTGCAGATGTGAGGACTAGAACTGAGACAACAGAGCTTGCCTAGGGTCACCTAGTAAGCTCATAACCTCCACGCTTACAGTTCATGTTGCTAGCCATCACACCGGCAGCAGCAACGTCTTGAAGCACACATCTTGGTGCACACAACAGGAAAAGACTTCTACAGGCACCTACGACTTTATTCAATCCAAGGTACTCAAAGCATTTTGAATCCACTGGGCACCACACCCTGAGAGTTAGCAGCCTACTGATTTTGCTGGAGCACATACCTATAAATAAACAAGCACTTTTCACAAATGATATCTACCCTCCTTTCTTCCGCACACTGATGCTGAGTGCTGCTCTTCTTTTTAATACCAATAAAACCACACCTCTTCCCAACTACTCTCTACAGTTATATCCCAATTCAAGCAAAATGGATTTCCCTCTTCACCCTATCAAATCCTCCTCAAGGATTTGAACCCTCTCCCCACAAGGGTGAAGACCAATGTAATATTTAAGTCACAGCAAGTTCTTCACTTATAACAGGGGAGCTATAAGTGTTATAAGTGTTCCCTCTAAGCTGAGTTAGTGTGAGCTAGCTCACAGTTTTTTAGCCTCCAGCTCACACATTTTTGTCTTAGCTCAGGAAGGATGGCTCCAGAGCAAACTAATTTATGCAGTAGCCAAATCGCTCACTCACAGCTTTAATGCCAGTAGCTTACAAAGTAGAATTTTTGCTCACAAGACTCCACAGCTTAGAGGGAGCATTGTCCATGGGCACGATGGCATCCGCCAGCACCTCTTCTGGTGACTGCCAAGGGTTTTTTTTAGGATGTGTTTGGGGCCAGGTAGAGGTTTTGCCCAGCAAGGCTTCTGATTGGCTGGGCAGATTTTTTTAAAACGTTGCTTAGGCAGCACCTGCCACCTCAGCACAAGAATCTGTACTGTGTTACTGAAGTTAAGCTGTGGCAATCATTTTGTGGCTGGCTCCACCTCCTGTGGAAGCCATTCTGTGGCAGCCATTTTGCTGCTATGCCAATCATGCTGTGTCAGAATTCCAAATGTGCCCGCAGGCTCAAAGAAGTTGGGGACCCCTGGCCTATAACATGAGCTCAATTTCTTCTCCACTTTTCCATTTTCACAGCAGGTGCACATCCTGCCAAGTCGAATACTGGGTTCACTGTCAGTTTTGCATCTCTTCCCAAACCTCAGATGAGCTGCCTCCCTCCCGTTTAAATGAAAGCACCCCATGTACATTTATCAGTTTACACTTTCATCCTTTATTACATTGTTAAAAGGAAACAGTTCGAAAACAATTGCCAGCCTGGAGGTGTCTCACTGACATCCCTGGCACTAGATAGATTATCAGTGCTTCTCTCAGTCCACTTTTGCTGCAAACTTGTGTAACAGTTGTGGGCTTTTTCCTTCTAAAGGTCAACATACATAGTAAACACAGTGAGAGTGCTTACAAACCAGTCCCACAGTTCTACTACATCTGTCCTCATCGGAGACTATCTTGACTCTTTAAGTGATTTGGGGGATGCAGCCATTGGTGATTTTGCAGTTCACAATACCTGTGCCAAAGAGGAAACAGATACTTCTCGCCGTTCTCTAGTAATCCTCTCAGGGACAATAATGTCATAGGAAGACAGATGCGATAACTGCTGAAAACCTGAAGAGAGACAGGGAAATGTTAAAGAATTAAATTACAGTCAAGCTAATTGGGTCTGTAAAACGAGAATACCTTCTCCATTAAGGTGGTGATGGAGCTGCAATTGGCCATTTCCTCCCAAGCATGTACCCTATGTGTGTGTGCGCACGTGTGCATTAATTCATTTATTTATTTACAAATACTCACACTTCAGTTTATTCACTAGTATTCAAGAGGCTGGCATGGCTGCCACAAAAGGTATGGAACTGTTTTAGAACTCAAGAAGTAGCTTCGTGCATAGGCACCCAGCGACATATTCTCTTTCCTTCTTATATAAGCAAATCAAGGGCATTTTATACCATTGCCTCCAAATAATGTAACATTTTCCATTTCTTGAAGTGTTCTCAGTGGGAATTTTACTATATGAAGACCCCAGTCACATGCAATGAACAGTAGCTCTCGATGGGGATATATAACCTCAGCTCCATCCAGAGACATGGTCAGCTAATTCAGCAGAACCCAGACAGGTCTGTAATGTGTGTGCACGGAGATATGCAAAGGTAGGTATTCAGAATTTCCTTTCCACTTTGGGGGATGGTTGGCTGGGAGGGATCTTCAGTACAGCCTACATTGTAAGCAGTTCCGTGAACAGGATGTGTGTGGGAATCCAGCCTCAGTATCTCAAGGGGGAGAAGGGGAATTCTTGGGGGGGGGGTTATTGGTCTTAAATTGTAAGCTGCCTTGAGCCATGAGAAAAGACAGGATATAAATATTTCAATTAATAAATAAGGCAGGGTCATATGCATTCCAAGTTTCCACAACTGTATCAAGCACATGTGCCATTTAGTATCTGGTACAAAATTTACATTTTTGCAAATCTCTACTCCCCCCCCCCCTTTCTGACAAGTTTCTCACCCTTCTCACTACAAACTGAACATCAACATGTGACTACAGCAATCTCAAAAGTCACTTATAAAAAGGGAAGTTAAACAAGAGTTCCCGTAGTGAAAGGGGGTGTCTTCGGTTTTCTTAAGTTTCACGTTTCTATGCTTGCAAAGGCAATACAAATTAAGCAAGATTTCTGAGGGGAAAATGGTATCATGAAAACAATCTTAATTCCTCGCCACCCCCTGCTTCCCCCTGCTTTCCCCCTTCAACGGATGCCTGTACATTGCCCTCCACACCAGTTTTTACACCATCTTAAAACTGTATAGAAGCTGTTTTAGTGATTTTATTGTATTTATCAAATGTGATTGTTTCTGTAATGTTGGAAAGTTTTTAAAATATATGTTTTATAAACTGTTGTCACCCGCTCTAAGCTGCTTTTGGGGACAGTGGAATATAAATTGAATAAAGTAAATAAATAAATACATTTGCATAATTTATTCCGATCACAAAATCTGGCTTTTTTCTGTGGTGAATCCTGAGTGCAGTAACTAAACTGCATGCCATTCAGACACAATATTTCACATCTGTGCATCTAACTGGAATCATCACAAAAGGCACCCAATGAAGGCAAAACACTGCTGTCAATAACAAAAATACACAAGTCATTTCTACTAAGTCCTACACCCTGAAATATAGACAATAATGACTCCCAAAACCATAAACAAAAGGCACAATTGAATAGAACGGCACAGTGAGAGCTAATTTCATACCTACCATTCCCCCCAGACAGTGGTGCTGGCTGCCATGACAGGAATCTAGACAGGGTTTGAGCGCAACCAATTTCTATGGCTCACAGCAATGGAATGCATAAGCTCACCTTCCGAGCACTAGGTTTAAGCATAGCATGGGCTCAGATGTGGGTGGACTTAGCTTTATTCCCTTGAACACTCTCATTCCACATTTTCTTGCAGCTTACAGGTCTTTCTAAATCACTCATCGAGGTCACCCACCATCTCATACTGGCTGGCAGCAGCACAGGAGAACAGAGAAGAAGAAAACAAAACATCTACTCATTCCTAACTGTTCTGCTATGCAGCCGGAGGGACCTCTGACTCACAAAAGCTTATGCTGGAAGCAATGTTAGTTTTTTAAAGTGTTATTGGACTACTGCCCTGACTTGGATAGTCCAGGCTAGCCTGATCTTGTCGGATCTCGGGAGCTAAGCAGGGTCATCCCTGGAGAGGCAGCCATACAGCGCTGGGCAGATGCTCCCACGATGCTTGACTGCTGTAGAGGAGGTTGTTCTGTCATGCTGAAGCCACAATGGAGTCAGGGCCGACTCACCCACTAGGCAAACTAGGCATTCACCTAGAGCGCTGGGCCCTGGATGGGGTGCCAAGCTGTGCCTCCCCCCCTTTGGTGGCGGCGGGGGCGGGGGGGAAGAGGCGGTGGTGGTGGCAGCAAAAGGGTGGCTGGCTCCAGAGGTCTCCAGGCCCCACCGGGATGTTGGCATCTGCGCCACAAGGCAGCCTCGCCTAGGGCGCAGAAACACCTCGAGCCGGCCCTGAATGGAGTAGCTCTGCCCACTCCCTCAGTACCCCCTCCCTCATACCAGTTGCTCACAGGCCACATAAGAGCCCTGGACGGGTCGGTCCCCGCCCCCAGGCCTTACAGTTGCTCTACTGGGCATCAAAAACAAATCTGTGTGATTCCTATTACTTTATTCTTACTGCAAATTTTTCAAAACCTGAAGGTCCACCTAGACTTGGTAGTAGTGGCAGCCATATTTATTTGTATCCAACACGCGCATAAACAAAGTGGGTGTGGTTTAATTTTGACATCAGCTGAGGTGTACAGGCGAGGGGAACCTTCTTCTCCTAACCTGTCTCCGCTTGTTCAACCCATGCACTTTTCTCCGAGCCAGGCTACAACACCAGAAGTGAAGTAAGCAGGGAGAAACATACCAGAGACTACACAGTGTGGTCAGGTAAGTCGTAGGAGGATTCATCTCCCCTTCCTGTCCATCCCTTTGGTGTAACAATTAGACACATGCTCCCTGTGCTACCCATTTTATAGAAGAATGGCTCACAGTATTCTGTGCAGATTTTCACATCTAGTGGATGGATGGCCGCTTTTCATTTTTTTTAACAAAAGTTCCATGTAATTTGAAGCCCAGCCCTCATTTAGGAGTAAGTTCCACTGAAATTAGAAGGACTTGCTTCCAAATAGCTCAGTTCTTCAGTAGTTGTGCTGGATAAGGACCAGATGTGATGCAGATCACTAGATGCAAAAATCCTGAAAGACAGGACACCTGTGGGAGAAGGTCCTCAACTTATTTCCTGACAGCATTTTTCTCCTCTCCTGCCGTCCACCAGGCCAGCTCCAATGCTTTCCCATCCACATGGGGAAAGCTACAGATACCCAGAGACAGGCAGCTTTGAGCAGAAAGATGGAAAGACCCCACCCCCCTCCTTTCTCTTCTTGTGACTACAGGCTATTTTACATATTAAAAAATCAGGGTAAAGTTATGCAGAGCTCCATGTGGCATATACTCGGGCCTAAGTAGCCACATGACTGCAGTCTTAATCAGATGTTTACTATCCCCTTTAATAAAAACTGTTACATTCACATACATTTTACAGTCTGTCCTACAAATTTACCTCCCCCAAACTTGCCAAAATTTCCAAAGTCAGAATACTTACCAGCAAAGCTGCTGGGAATTCATCTCAAAGGAAAATCTTTCAAAAAGGTACCTTGAAATGTATTTTCCCATTATTAGATACCAATTAAGTAATGGTACAGATTAACTAAGTATGATGAATAAGCAGTTAACTGTGCCCCCCTTAAACAAATACATTTGGAAAATACAGAGTTCTTTAAAAGATGTCAAATTAGCCTACCTAAGAGATAGTGTTTACATGTTCCCCTCCTTTCTGTTGTTTGGAGCCTTTAATATAAATGTATCAGCCTAAGAGATATACACTTTGTGCATCTAATGAAGTGAGTTCGGACTCAAACACTTATGCTGGGATAAATTTTGTTGGTGTCTAAAGTGCCGCTACACTCCTGTTGTACAATGTCTACCAGATTGCCCTTCTTTGTTAGTGTGGTGTATTCAAGCTGACCCATGTATGTATGTGAACTCACTCATTGAATCACCATGTGAAGCTTTCATCCTGGGCTAGGCTCCTAATCCTTCAATTGTAATTGGTAGCCCAGGAAGAGCCGACCAATCACCAACAGCCAGTTCCAAGAGCGGGAACTATTGTGATTGGACTTTATCCCTGCAACCTCATAGGTTGAGATTGTATAGTAGGGCGTGGCTACATTAGCCTGGAGAGTTTAAAAGTGGAACAGCTTCAATGTAAAAGCTGTTCTGGCTGTTCATGTTGATCTGTTTGGAGTTGAGTTACGAGTTGCTGAATAAAGCTGATCTTTTGCTGAAATCACTCTGACTCTTTGTTAAGTAACCGACTTAACAGTTAGTGTGCACAAAGAACTCTAAAAGTTTGATGAAATAGGACTTTCCTTTATAGAACGTGCTAACTGCTCCTCAGCAGGGTTTGTTCCTTTACATGATTAATAATTCTATATTTAATAACAGTTTCCTCCAATTCACCCATAACAGATATTAGCTTTACCAGCCTGTGACTTCCTGGCTTCTGGATTCCTTTTAAAAACTGGTATTACCAGCCTGTGACTTCCTGGCTTCTGGATTTCTTTTAAAAACTGATGTTATACTCACTACCTTCTCAGTCCTTTGGAACGGAGACAAGTTTTAGTGACAAGTCGCACATTTTCATTAGGGGATCAACATCATTGCGTTCGAATTCCCTAAGAATCCTGAGGTGTATGCTATCTGAATCCAGTGACTTCATTTGTCCATCAGCCCTAGTGCCCTTGCTTGATTTAGTGTTTCCAAAACCTTTCCCCAAAACAGCAGCTTCAGTGTAGGTAACAAACCCACATTTTCCATGGTGAAAAGCAACACAAAGAATTAATTCAGTTCCTTTGTAATCTCCCTGTTTTCCCTACCTGCTTCTGGTGTATTTGACAGGGCAGATCGATTCTGAGAAGATTTCAAATTAGCACACTGTAGCAGGACATGATGCTACATATTTCTTGGAAATGGT